AAGGCCCGGGCCTTCCTGCCAGAATCTGCAAAAATCAATAGCGGCCAAGGCTTTTCCTGGAGGGCATGACCTCAAGGAACAAAGAAAGCACCTTGAGGATGGGATGTGGAGCTTATCACAGGCGAGCCTGGCCCAGGCGCAGAGGCCTTGGGCAAATTTCCAAGGCCTGAGCAGTCCATGGTCCTGTCTGGGGCCTGCTCTGGAGGAGGGATGAGGCTGGTGACTGGGAGGTCTGGTGGAGGCTCTCTATGGAGCTGCCTGTGCACAGATGGCAGGACAGAAAACGGAGGCTCCAGTCCCTCAAGGAGCTGAGAGCAGGCCCGAGGGCTGGCTGCCCCCTCTGCCTGCTGGTGAAGAGCTTTCCTGCTTCCATGGCCAGCCCTGGTGCCAGCACCAGTCCCGGCCATTGTTCCCAGCTTCCTGGCCCGCAAAGAGTGGGTTGGAGCCAGAGCCCCGGGCTTCAGTGGCTGAAGCTGGAGGTCTGTGGGTTCAGAGCCCAGGCGGTCCCACCCCACCGCCTATCCCCCTACCTAGCCAGACCCCACAATGCCAGGCCTCTCTCATCACTGAGCATACAGCTTTGGGAAGCCCCTGGACTTCTCAAGGATCAGCACAAAACACATCCTCAGGTCTGCCCTGCCCATGCCATGGAGGTGGTATGAGGCTCAGACCAGCTGGTGGATGGGAAAGGTCTTGTGTAGCAGGGTGGGCGTGGGAGAGCCCTGACACTCAGGTAGGAGAGCTAGGCTGGCTCCCTTCTGCCTCTGACCTCCCAGTGCTCTGCTTTCCTGAGTGGCCACTATGTGGCAAACACTCCACTTAGGTCATTTCATGGGACCCTCACCCTAAGCCCAGAAGACAGCATTAATGGCTCCATTTCACAGATGAGGAAAATGAGGCCCAGAGAGGTCCAAAAACCTTCCCAAAGCTTTGGTGCTGATGAGTGGCAGAGGCGGGACTCCAGCCCGGCCTGACCGTTGTGCTCTTAACTATGACAGCACAGCACTGCCACAGGGGTTCATGAGCATAGGCTCCACCCTTGGAGAGCAGGGTCCTCTCCCACTGCCCACCTGGGGGGCCGAGCACAGAGCCAGCCACACAGTGGGAGTCTGACAGAGCCGTCAAGATGATGGGCTCCCTAGGGAAGTTGTCTTTGGTGGCCCAGCTTGCTCTGGCAATGACTTCGAGGACCCAGGAAAAGGGACCCCCACCCCACCCAGCAGTGCCTCTTTCCCCAGGAAGGGGAAATTATTAACTCCAGAGTGTGAATTTATGTCAGCCTCTCGCTCTCGCTCCTCTGGCCCTCATCCACATGTCACCCCTCACCCCAAGGTACCACCCTCTTCCCATCCTGTCAGTGGTTGGGGCAAAGGGGATGATTACCCGGAGGTTAAAGGTGATAGTGCTAGTTTGTAGCCCTAGCCATAGCGCCTGAAGTTCCCCCATGAAAATTCCATGCTCTAAGAGACGGAGCCTCACATCAGCTATGGGACACAGGAAGCGGTGGGGTTCCTGGGCAGGTAGGTGGGAGAGGTACCTGTGTGTGTGGCCAGGTACAGTGTGTGGCTGCTTAAGCCAGTCTGCGCTGTTTCTGTCACTTACAATCAACAGAAACCAGAATGAGACAGGTGGGGAGCAGACTGGAGGCCGAGAGAGGCAGGAAGGGGAATAGGGGCCACAGGTTGATCCGGTTACCTTCCCAGAATCAGAGCGACAGGTCTCTAAGGACCCTTAGAGATCAGAGGTCAAGACCTATGCTTCAGATGGAATCAAGGCCCCAAGAGGAACAGAGCCTGCCTGGGATCACTTGTTATCAAAGGTCTAAGACCTGAGCCTCAACACGCAGGCCCCCCAGGCCAGGGCTCCATTCACGGCCCTGGTTTTGGCCCAGGTGGGAGCCCCACTGCTTTGTGAGGGGAGGCAAGGTGGGGACAAAAGAAGAAAAAGTCATTGCACCCTCCATGTGGGCTCATCCAGGGCTCCTCTGGCCCCTGGCACACGCAGAACACCACCCGTTCAGGAAGAGCAACCCGAAGCTATAAAGCACCCAATACGTGCCAGTGCTTTCCAGGGGTCTCTGCGAGGTGGGTGGGTTTTGCCTAAGGTCACTGGACTACAAAGGAAGCCAGGATTCAAGCCGGGCACAGGGACAAGGGGTCCTGCGCGTCCTCGCTGAGAGGTGGACGCTTGCACACGGCTTCTCAAGGGCAGAGTCCTCCTGTGGCCACATGCAGAGGGAGTAAGAGGATCATGGGGTCCTGGTCACATCCGGGGTCCCCCCTGGCCTCTCCACTAAGACTTGTGCAGCCAGTTTTGAGCTCTCTGCGGCGTGGGTAGCTCCTTGTCCTCTTTCTGCCCTCACCTCCACCCCTACCTTCAGGGCAGGGGTCCCTCCTGACCACCCTCCACTGGCTCTCAGCCCTGGGGGCAGTTGCTTCTACCTTCCTCTCCCCACCTCCACCCTTGCCTTTGAGAAACAGAAGCCTGAGTTGCAGTTGGCCCACTGCGGGACAGGACAGGGGACAGAAGAGGGGTGCAGGAAGTCTGAGATGGAGGCGGCTGGGCTGGACATGCAGATGGATCACCGTGCAACAGGGTGAGTAGGAGTGGGGTGAGAGCATGTGATGCTCGGGGGCGGCGCCTGTAGGCTGCTCCAGGCAGACCCTGATTTTCCACTGGGGCTAAACAAGCTCTCCTGCTTACCAGGCCCAGTGCCCAGCTTCTGACCATCCATGAGCTGCCGGTCCCTCACAGATTAGCTCCCTTTACAGGGGCTGCAGTTAAACCCCAAGGATGTCAAGAGGTCACAGCCCAAGGATCCCAAGTGTCCCGCAGTTGGTACCGTCAGCATTGTCACAGCTTCCCCACCAGGGCCGCCGTATGCGATTCCACTTAATTCTCACAAGAACCAAGCAAGGCAAGGGTTAACCTCCCCATTTTATAGATGAGGCAACTGAGTCCCAAAGAGGTTAAGTGACTTGCCCAAAGTCACACAAACAGAATGTTCAAAACATTCAAACCCAGCCTTATGTCCCAATCCCAAGCCTGCCACCCTGGCCTGCACACCTCACTCCCTCTCCACGTCCCAACATTCCCCTCTGAAGAATGACCAGAACAAACTGTGCTTTGGTCTGTGAAGGTCAATGTCTTTACTTCTAAAGCATACATTGGACTCACTATATATTAACATCAAAAGGGCTATCTAAAATGGAGTCATTCTTTTTAAAAATCCAAATTCTCACATTTTTATATAAGATCCAAAATGACATGAAATTAAACTATACAATGTTATGAACAGTATAACAACTGCTTTTAGAAAGCAAAATGAAAGAAAAACATTAGCAGTTGGGACTGTTGTCAGCCTGGGTTCCACGTCTTTTGAGGCATTGTGACTAAAGCCAGCACCAAGGGGAAGGACCAGCCCCTCTCTACGGGCACAGGAAGGGAACCTAGGCAGAGGAGGGGGATGAGGGCTTTTCAGACTTCTGAAGGTGAGAGTGGGACAAGACAGGTCTCCCTGCTCCTCTGGGATCTTGGGGTGGGCACTGATTAAAGTCTCCTTTTAAGACCCAGGGAAAGGGGCTGGGAGAGGGTGGGGCAGAGCTGGGTTCAAAAGAATCATTTTGATAGTAAAGGTCTTCTGGCTTTCCCGAGGACAGTCCCGGCCATCAAGCAATACCAATCGACTCCATCTACCTACCGGTTTCCTTAACAACCCTCTTCCCCTGCCCACTCCTTATCCTGGACACCCTCGGCTCCATGAGCCCAGTGGGCAGCCAGAGACCTAGGGGGGCCCTAGGAGGACCCGAAGGAGAACACTCTGGCCTTGGAAGCAGCTGGATGTTGTCCGGAGCATCTTGGTAGAGCAACACCCCTGAAGTACCGGCCAGCAACCAGCCTGATGGGGGAGGGTGCGCACGGGCTGGCAGGGCACTGTGGGCTCAGAGGCGTTCCCGTGGTCCTTTCACCTCCCCTACCCTGGGTACCCAGGCATGGTCTTGGCCCTGAAGCAGGGCTGGGGCGAGCTGATTAGGGCCATGCCCTTGAGGCTTTGGTTCACACAATTCAAAGGGGTGACACTTGTTCCCATCCACTGGGAAGATCACGGGCTTGGCCCTGCTTCCTCCCAGGCACAAGGTGATCTAACAATCCCCTCTTTCACATCAGTAGTTCTGTTGGGCTGAGTGCACATTCCCCACCAGTGCCTGGAACCATGCCGCAAAGGTGGGAGGGGCACTTCCAAAACAGTGGGATTAGCCCTGGGTGCAAAGGCTGCCTTTCCTCCTTTCCCTGTGGACAGCACTGTCCCTGGCTGAGTCACAGGAGAACTTCTCTGCCTCCTCCCTTCTGGCTGGGCCAATTGTTCTCCAAGCAGACTGAGCCCACAGGTGTGCAGCACCCCTGTATGTCTCGCCTGCCAGAAACCTGGAGGATGCATCGCCCCTGGCTGAAGCTGACGGAGAGGCCGGTGGCTCACAGTTTGCCCTCCTGGTCCCAGGACTACACCACGGAGCTGACCCTCTCCCTCAAACAGCAACCTGAAGGGGGATGCCCTACACCCAGCTTACCTCTGGAGTCCAGCCCTTCTCCCAGGCCCTACCGTGACCCTTCTCTTTCCTAACCTATCTGATTTCTGATTAGGCTGAAAGGTCTGGGAAGGTTGGGCTAGCACCACCCCCTCGTTGGGGTGGAGAGAGGCCATTTGACTTCCAGCCTGGTTCCAGGCCCCCAGAGACAAGGGAGGCTGAGGTCTCTCAAGAAAGCGAATCCTGTAATGGGAAAGAGGTCTGTGGGGTCAGGACCAGCCACAGCAATCTGCTGCCCCCGCCACCCCCCCAGGCCTGTACCGGGAGTGCCAGGCACCCACACCCTCCACCTGCCCAGCACCCTTCTGTCCTCACGCCCAGGGCCTCCCTCAGAACACCAAGCCGGGTGCAGGGATGGGTGCGAGGAGGCTGGGCCAGGCCTGGTGGGGGCCGCGGCGGGGACTCAGGGCAGGCAGGCGGCTACCTGGTAGGCGCCCTCGGCCGCAGCGGCGGCGGCGCTGTGCTGCGCGCTGTGCTCCTGCAGCAGGGCCACGTCCAGGAAGCGCTCACCGCACCACACGCACTTGAACTGCTGCTCCCGGGCGTGCACGCCCTGGTGCTTGTTGAGGTGCTCACGCTGCTTGAAGGCCTTGTCGCAGTTGGGGCACTTGTAGGGTTTCTCGCCCGTGTGCACCCTCCGGTGCCGCTGCAGGTCAGAGGCGTACTTGAAGCGCTTCTCGCAGTCCGGGCACTTGAGCGGCTTCTCGCGGGCCGGGTCGCAGCGGTGCTGCACAAACTCGGAGGACGAGAAGAAGCGGCGCTCACACAGGGTGCAGCGCAGAGGCTTCTCGGCGGCCGAGCAGTGGGCCAGCTGGTGCTTCTGCAGAGCCGACGCCCGCTTGTAGGCCTTGTTGCACACCGGGCACTTGAAGGGCCGCTCAGCCGCGCCCGGCAGGCACTTGTGCCGCAGCAGCTCAGCCGACTGGTCGAAGCCCTTCTGGCACACGGGGCACTTGAAGAGGGTCTCGAGGGTGTGCACGTGCTGGTGGTAAAGCAGGTGGCTGGGCTGCCCGAAGCCCTTCTCGCACAGGCCGCACTTGAAGGGCTCCTCGGTCTTGTGAGTGCGCCGGTGCCGCATCAGCGCATACTGCTGCTTGAAGCCCATGGGGCACAGGTCGCACTTGAAGGGCCGCTCGGCGCTGTGCGTGCGCTCGTGCTGCCGCAGGTCCGACGGCCGCTTGAAGGCCTTCTGGCACTCGCTGCAGCGGAAGGGCCGCTCCCCGCTGGGCGTGCACGGGTGCTGCAGCAGCTCGGATGACTCTTTGAAGTGCAGCTCGCACACATTGCAGCGGAACAGGTGGTGCTCCCCCGAGTGCGCGTACATGTGGCGCACCAGGTGCGAGCGGTGCTTGAAGGTCTTCTCGCAAACTGCGCACTTGTACGGCCGCTCTGAGCTGTGCGTGCGCTTGTGGTGCACCAGGTGGGACGACTGGCTGAAGCTCTTGTCGCACAGTGTGCACTTGTAGGGCTTCTCACCCGTGTGGATGCGCTCGTGCCGCGAGAGCTCCGACAGGTGCTTGAAGGGCTTCTGGCAGATGGGGCAGCTGTAGGGCTTGTCGGCTTGTTCTGCAGGGGCTACGGCGGGCGGAGGGGGTGCTGGGGGCAGCGAAGGGGCGGCCGTGGCCGCAGGCTCAGCTGCCTCGGCAGGCTTGTAGGTCTTCTCGCAGATGGAACATTTCACGAGGCCCCCAGTGCCGCTGTGCGCGCTGTGGTGCTGCGCCAGCGACGTGAGCAGCGAGAAGCCCATCTTGCAGACGCCACAGACAAAAGGCTTCTGTTCGGCCTGCACGCACTGGTGCTCCAGCAGGTCGGTAGCCTGGTGGAAGATCTTGAGACACTGCGTGCACTGGAACGAGCGGTCGTGGCCTGCCAGGCACTGGTGCTCATGCGGGCTGGACAGGTGCGCCAGGTCGTGACCGCACACGCCGCACTTGGGGCCCGGCTCGCCTGCTGGCTGCAGGGGCGCGTGCTGCGGGGGCTGCAGGCCCGGGTCAGGCTGTAGAAGGATGCCATAGACGGCACAGCCCAGGGGGTTCTCAGCTGTGCCTGGGGTCAGTGTGTGCTCGGCCAGGGCCGGCGGTGGTTCTGCGTGGTGTTGAGGCTGCGGTGGCTGCGGCTGCTGCGGCTGTGTCTGCGGCGGCTGCTGCCAGCTTTCCGACATGCTTGGGAAGATGAAACAGGGTTTGGAGAGTAATGGCTTCAGTTTCCCCGCTTAAGGTGACCCACACCAGAGACAGAAGCTGCCCAGGATCAGGTATGGATGAGGACCTCAGACAAGGCACAGAGAGGGGCTAGTCAGGCGGCCCAAGTCATTAACTAAGACAGACTACAAGGCTCTGCCTACAGGACGGGGGTCTTCGAGGCAGGGTGCCAGCAATGGCAGGGAAGCTCTGCCCTCCCTGATGATTGGTTCTGTAGAGAAGAAAGAAATCGTGAGCTTGAGGCAGGGACATGCAGCTGCTCCCGGGGCCTCTCCCTGATCTGCCTGCACTCGCCACATTGACATAAACCACATCAGGGAAGCGAGAGGGGCTCAGAGCTGGGAGATCTGCTCCCTTCACATGCTACCAAAGAAGTCTGCTGGCGGCTCAGCTCCTCCAGCAAAGGGGACGGTGGCTGTCTCCATGCCCAACCCACATTCAGTTCCCCATCCCTGGGCCAGGCATCCCAACCTCCCGGCTCACTGTCAACCCTCTTCAATTAGCTGTCTCACGGGTGACAGTCTGGGGTGATCTGTCCACAACACAGAGAAGTCACAAGTAATGCTCTTGCTCCAAAGAAAGAAGGAGGTGACCAGATAGGGCCCTGGCATCCAAAACAAGAATTTTAGTAACATAACTTTATTTTTTGCAAAACACTTCTTACTTGGAAGCCCAGTACCTAAGATAGATAAAAGCAGAAAGGCTCTGGTTGAGGCCTCCCTGTAGGCCTGCCAGCTTCTCTCCTGTTGCTGAATCTCAACCCAGGACACAACTGCTTATAAGAACAGACTGTGGGTCTAAGAGGCCAGGCCTCCCAGACCTGAGGGCCCCACAGCAAACGGCCTCAGTCAGTCAATATCTAAAACAACTGCATGAAACTGAGGACCATCTCAGAAACCTTCTCCCATCAGGGGCTGGCCCATACCCCTCTCAACTACCCCCCAGGCCCTCCCCCCGACCATGTGCCTGTTCTCTCTTCACATAAGTGGGATGGCTTTGCAGGGACCTGAGCCAGTGCATGATGGGGGTTAGATGGCGGGTCCAGAGACCCACGCAGCCTAGATGTCTACATAGCAGAAGTTCCCTAGTCCAGTCATCTCCCAGAGCACCAAAACAAGTCCTAAATCCTCTCCATCTGACAGTGTCAAGGCCTGTAGGAAAATGCAAGCAATTTCGAGTTTGCCCCTTCAATGTGGGAAGTGGCATGCTAACCACAGAGCGTTCATCCCTATCACCTTTCCGGAGAGAACCCTGTTCCCTTGCTCCAAGTCTGTAACATTTTGGATAATCAGTGGAAAGTAGAGACCACCCAGCTCAGGCAAATCTCTAACTCACCACTTTGTGGCAGCATAAGGTAATGACAGCGAGAGGGAAGAACTTTTAGAATCAGACGCAACCCACTTTCAGGTTCCCAGCTCTTCTGTCTCTAACATTGAAAAGTTTCTAAGTTTTCTCCCGATGAAAAGAGAAGGGGATGCCTTTAGAGGCCAGCCTGGCCTCTAACTGCCAAAGAAACATAAGAGTCAGGCTAAAAGCTGTCAACCTCAGCATCTTTCTGGGAAGAGAAGTAAAGAAGCCGCTGCTCTGGGTGGAGGCAGCAGGTTGCATGAGTGAGCAGGTACTGAAGCCTCCCCAGGAAAGAGGGAAGCAGAACTACTCTGAGCGAGGTCTAGGTCAGGCTGCACCAACCCAACTGTTTTTTTTTTTTTTTTTTTTCCGGCATGAATAGCTGCCACACAGGGTCCACGGTCCTAGGCCCCCAGCTCAGCTGCCCACCTTGGCCCCCCTCCAGGAAGGTGCGGCCAGAGGCTCCTCTGATCACTCAGCAAAGAGGATGAGCGACTAGGGTGAGGGCAGCAAGCGGAGGCCCCCACCTGAGCCCCACCCCAGCCCTTCCTCTTCCCTGGGAAACCGAATGAAAGCCGATCACCTCCCTGCCGGCAATGCCCGCCGGCCCAGCTGGGCTGCCTCCTGTCAGCCCTCGCCGGGAGTGGACAGGCCGCTGCGGCCCGAGGGCCGGCCCCGCGGGCCACTGGGCCCGAAAAAGGCCCCAGGGCTGCAGGCTTGGCCCGGGAGCCAGCTGCGCGTCGAGGTCGGCCTGGGCCGCCCAGGAGCTCAGGAGGCCGCCGGGTCGGGCTGGAGGGAGTGGAGGGGCGGCCAGGCCGGCTGGGGAAAGGGTGCGGCGGGCGCGGGAGTGGCGCCCAGCCGCGGCCCCGGGCGCCCAGCCGCTCACCTGCTCCAGGCCGCCCGCGGGGTCAGGCTCAGGGCGAGTGGCGACCAGCTGCTCTCTCAGCCGCCCCTTTATTCCGACTCCATCCGCGGCAGCGCGGCCTACGCGCTCTGCCAATCCCCGGCCTCGCGTAGCGGCGGCGTCCGGCTCGGGGGCGGGAACGGGCTAGCGGCGGCCGGAACCGAGGAAGCGACGTGCGCGGCCGGGATAGCGGGGCCGGGGCGGAGGAGCGCTGGGAAGGCGGGCGGACGGACCGATGGCCTTGCGGAGACCGGCGGACAGGCGGGCGGCGCGGGGGCCAGGGAGGCGGGGCCGGGGGGAGGAGCGGCAGCCTGGGTGGCGGCGGCAGCGGGAGGAGCGGACGGCGTGGAGCGAGGCCGCCCCCTGCCGGGGACCCCGCGGCCGGGCCGGGTCGGACAGCCGGGCGCGCCGGGCCGGCTCTCCAGTCGCCCGGCCGGCACGCCTCAGCTGACCCAGGGAGGGCGCTCTGTTTCCGACCACCCTACTCGGCCTTAAGGGTGGAAGCTCCCAGGACCCGGCCCCCGGTCCGACCCCTGAACCTGAGAGGAGGGGCCTCCTAGACTCTGAACTTATGGAACTGAACCGCCTCTGACTGTTCAGCTCGCTCTTAGGGGAGGGGACCCCGGAGCTCGGACTTTGGGCCAGCTTGAGGAAGAGGCCCCGGGACCTCTGACCCCGTCCGGACGGCGAGGGCAAGGGCGAGGGCACTAGACTCCGATGGGTCTAATGCGCTGACCTCTGACCCAGGGACCATCTGCTGCTGGGAGGTCCCGAGCTGCTGCAGACCGAGCAGCGGACAGAGAGGTCAGAGCCGAGAGCGATCGGTTTAATGGGCACACGGAGGATGGCGGTTCCGGGAGGCACCAGGTAGTGGTCAAAGCGCGGCGAGCCAGCAAGCAATGTAGTCTAGGTGGGTAGCCTCTTGGCTCGAGTCCTGCCGGGCCCCGCCCCAGACCCCGCCCTGAGGCGGTGCTAATACGGGCCCCGCCCCCTGGAGAGCACTTCCGGCTCAGAGGAATTCCGGGTGTGGTTCGACTGCTGGCGGGCCGGCTGTGCCCTAGCGAAGGGGGTCCTCCATGAGTGCGGCGCCCCTGGTGGGCTACAGCAGCAGCGGCTCTGAGGATGAGGCTGAGGCCGGGGCCCGCGTCCGGCCGGGGACTAGAGGCTGCAGTCGGTGAGGAGCGAGGAAGACTTTCTGGGGAGGGTGCGGGTTGGCCCCGGACCGGACCCGAGCTTTGGGGTGGTTGGGGAGGGTGCCGGGCTGCTCGCAAGGGAAGGAAAAGGGGCACCGGGGGAAAGGAGGATCCGGAGGACAGCCTTGGACAAAGCCCCGGAGTGCCCCCACCCGGCTGGGCCAAGGTTAGGAGGCAGGAAACGTGGGCTCGGGTCCAGCCTCCGCCGCTGGCCCACTCGTCTCCCGGCGCGCACCGCTGTACCACCCTAGGTCTGCTTCATCATATGGAGGGTGTTTTCCTTTATCAAGTATATATTCATTGAGCACCCTCTCTGCGCCAGGCTCGGGACTGGGGACTCAGCAGTGAGCAAAACCATCCAAGTCTCCTACTTTGTGGAGCTTCAGTTCTTAATTGCCAAGCCTGGTGCATCCTGAGTGCTTTGCAAGCAGTCTCCCGGTTCATCTCACAATAGCCCTATCAGGTTGCAGTGCACTGTACAGATGAGGAAACTGAGGCCCACAGAGGGCACATGACTTGCCCAGGTCCACGGAGCTAGGAGGTGTCACTCTAGCTGAGGCCTGTCCAGTTAGGGCATGTGACCTCTGAACCACATATTGCCACTTGCCCCGTTGTTTTCCATGGGGACCACGTTCCCTGCTAAAGTCTGCCTCCACGAGCCGTTGGGAGACCCCAATGAGACAGTGTTGGGGAAAGAGCTTTGTGGTTATCTAGAAGCTGCTTACAGCACCTGGTGAGAAATAGACACGCAGACTCACCTGGTACAAGGGATTACAACTTTCATTGTGTGTACAGAGATAGAGAATGCTAAGAGGCTAAATGTGCTTGATTTCTTCTTTTCTCTTGCAGGGGCCAGAGCCCCCTTCCCAGCCAGAAGTTGCCAGTACCCGACAGTGTGCTGGACATGTTCCCAGGCACCGAGGAGAGGCCTGCGGATGATAGCGCAAAACATGGGGGCCGGGTGCGCACCTTTCCCCACGAGCGGGGCAACTGGGCCACCCACGTCTATGTACCATGTGAGTAATGCGTGACAGGCACGTGGCTGACACTGACAGGTGCCCCTTATGGGAGGAAGCTGGCCCCAACCAGGAGGAAGAAGCCAGAAACCTCTGACACTGGTGGTGGGAAAGAGATTAACTCAACAGAGAGAGCACAAGTTTCAAAAACTAGGGAATTTTTCTGTTAACTTGATTTCAGGTTTTCTGGCCTTTGTTTTTATATTGGGATGTAGTTGATTATCAATGTTGTGATAGTTTCAGGTGTACAGCAGAGTGATTCAGTTATGCATATACATGTATCTATTCTTTTTCAAATTCTTTTCCCATTTAGGTTGTTACATAATATTGAGCAGAGTTCCCTGTGCTATAGAGTAGGTCCTTGTTGGTTATCCATTTTAAATAGAGCAGTGTGTACATGTCAATCCCAAACTCCCTAACTATCCCTTTTCCCCTTCCCTTCCCCCTGGTAACCATAAGCCCGTTCATGAGAGAGCTCCTTTAAACTGCCATGGACCACACAGAGGGGGCATCCAGCACATTTGCAGTGACCATAACTTTACTGTGAGCCTATCTCT